GATGAAATACCGCACAATTGTTGGTGGCCTGCCAAAAAAGTGGAGCCGTGAATGCTGCTAGACCCAACGATGAGCAATTTATGTTCTCAAGGGGCCACACGAGAAACCGGGACTGTTGTGGTCAGCCGAACCAATAGGGTTGTGAAGGTGTGCAGGCAGTCGCCTACAAAATAAAAGCAATGCAGTTGTATTGTGTGCACGGCTGAGTGCCCTTATTTATATTTGATTTCTAATTTCCGACTGATCTCACGTGAGTCAGACAAGGATGTAGCCTGGGGGCCATAAAACACCCAGTTCTGTGCTAGGCGATGTCCAGTTTCAAGCAACTTTAAGAAACAACAGGGAAACCGCACAGAGTCCGACTGATAACATAAACTAATATGAAACTAATATGATAACATGAAACTAATCAAGGAGAGAAAGAACCTGGAATTAAGGAGAAACTTCCTGACAGTGAGAACAATTAACCAGTGGAACTACCTGCCTCCAGAAGCGGTGAATGCTCCAACACTGGAAGTTTTTAAGAAGAGACTGGACAGCCATTTGTCCGAAATGGTATAGGGTTTCCTGCTTGAGCAAGGGGTTGGACTAGATGACCTTCAAGGTCCCTTCCAACTTTATTATTATTATTATTATTATTATTATTATTATTATTATTATTATTATTATTATTATTATTATTATTATTTATTATTATTATTATTATTATTATATAAATTTAATATATAAATCCATCAATCGATCAACCAACCATTCCACCAAAAACTCTTTAGTCCCCATCCTTTTTTTTTTAACCAATCCTTAGTAGAGGAATGCAGTGAATGGAAAAGCTCATGAAGCATGTAAAACAATATGTCATTATCTATAGATTTGCCAGAACAGGACAAACAGAGATAAAAGTAGTCCAAAATTGGAATTAGACAAGGAGCGACTGAAATTCACGATGCCTCTTTTCTTCTGCGAGGCACACAAAAAGTACACACAAAGAAACTTCCCACTGGGGGAAAGAAAAAAATGACGACACTCAAAAGCCAACAGAGAGAATCCGGAGGAGAAGAAAGAAGGTAGCCAAGTCTGGAGAGCATAGGTCGGGGATTCTTAACCTCGGCAGCTTTAAGAAGTGTGGACTTCAACTCCCAGAATCCCCCAGGCCAGTGTACTGGCTGGGAGACCCTGGGTGTTGAAGTCCACATTTCTTAAAAGTACTGAGGTTGAGAAACATTAAACATAGAGTAACAGAGCTGGAAGGGAACATGGAGGTCTTCTAGTCCAACCCCCTGCTCAAGCAGAAGACTCTATACCAGGGGTCTTCAAACGTGGCCCTTTTATGACTTGTGGACTTCAACTCCCAGAATTCCTCAGCCAGGCACGCCTGGCTGAGGAATTCTGGGAGTTGAAGTCCACAAGTCATAAAAGGGCCACGTTTGAAGACCCCTGCTCTATACTATTTCAGACAAGTGGCTGTCCAATCTTTTTTTAAAAAAACCTCCCTTGATGGGGCACCTACAACCTCTGAAAGTTGTCAGAAATTGATCCATGTGATAAAAGCCAATTAAGGAAGGTTGGGAGGAGAGAGAGCTGCAAGTCAGAGGTGTCTGTGGGGTGCCGTCAAAAAAGGTCAAGAGGGCAGTCACAATCACGGAGTCGAATCTCTTCCTGCTTTTTATGAAAATGTCACACATAAACAACAGGAGCATTGACTAACCCTTTGGGTGCACCCACTTGATTTCTCAGACAGTACCTTGCAAACCATCCCTCCAAAGCAGGGGTCTTCAAACTGGGCCCTTTTGTGACTCGTGGGCTTCGACTCCCAGAATTCCTCAGCCAGGCACGCTGGCTGAGGAATTCTGGGAGTCGAAGTCCACGAGTCATAAAAGGGCCCAGTTTGAAGACCCCTCCTCCAAAGAGAACTCAGCACAAAAGGAAGAATAGCCAGGGCACGGATGAGGATTAATCCGTCCTTTAGACATCCTGGCTTTGACAGATTAAAAAAAGTCCCAATCTTTTCAAGGAGTTCCAATCTTTCCTCCACTGGGTTAAAGTGCTGGCCTAGAAACCAGGACTCTTTGAGTTTTACGTCTCTTTTGGCCATGAAAGTTGACTGGGTGACTTTGGACCACCCCTTCTCCCTCCGTCCAACCCACTTCACAGGGTTGTTAGTGTGGGGAAAATAGGCAGGGCAGTTAGGTGTATTCATTGCCCTGAGCTATGAACACATAGCAGTGTTCCAGTATCTCAGGGGCTGCCCCAAAGAAGAGGGAGTCAAGCTATTCTCCAAAGCGCCTGAAGGCAGCACAAGAAGCAACGGATGGAAACTAACCAAAGAGAGAAGCGACCTGGAAATAAGGAGAAATTTCCTGGCATTGAGAACAATTAACCAGTGGAACTCCTTGCCTCCAGAAGCTGTGAATGCTCCAACACTGGAAGTTTTTAAGAAGAGACTGGACAGCCATTTGTCTGAAATGGTATAGGGTTTCCTACCTGAGCAGGGGGTTGGACTAGATGACCTCCAAGGTCCCTTCCATCATCATCATCATCATCATCATCATCATCATCATTATATACATGTGTGTGGGTGTCTGTCTATCTATACACATACATGCAGGAAGTCCTCGACTTACAAGACTTCCTTTAGTGACCGATTGAAGTTACAACAGTGCTGAAAAAAGTGACTTATGACCGTTTTTCACAAGATCATTGCAGCCTCCCCATGGTCATGTGATCAAAATTCAGGCGCTTGGCAACCAACTCATATTTATGATGGTTGCAGCGTCCTGGGGCCATTCAACCTTCTGACAAGCAAAATCAACGGGGAAGCCCGGTTCATTTAACAGCCCTGTTACTAACTTAACAACTGCAACAATTCACTTAACAACTGTGGCAACAAAGGTTGCAAAATGGGGTAAAACTCACTGAACAAATGTTTCACTCGGCAATATAAATGTTGGGCTCAATTGTGGTCATAGGTTGAGGACTCCCTGCATTCATTGCCCTGAGTTGTACATATACATGTATGTGTGTGTGTATCCATCCATCCATCAGCACAGGGGAGAGGATAATGGGAATGCAGTGGAACATGGGTACTCCTCTTTCTTCTGCTTTGGGGAATCTTCCTGGTACTCTGGCATCTCTCTGCTGTATTATTATATTATTAATCTGTCTCTCTCTCTCTCTATCTATCAACTATCATCTATCTACACAACATACACACATATACTATACGTATACATACATATGTACATGTATACAAATATACACACATACATATATACATGTATATGTATACATGTGTATATACATGTAAATACATATGTATACACGTATACACACACAAACACATACACACATTTATACCTAAAACTTTCTTTAACATAGCTCTCTCCCCTTATCATCCATCTCTATCTATCTATCTATCTATCTCTCTATCTATCTCTCTATCTATCATCATCTATCTATCTCTCTATCTACACAACATACACACATATACTATACGTATGCAAACATATGTACATGTATACAAATATACACATACACATGTAGATACATATACATATACATACATATATACATGTATACGTATACATATGTATACACATGTTAAATGCATAAGTATACATGTATACACACCCAATCACATTTATACCTATAAAAGGCAGGATAAAAATGTAATACAATAACAATAACACTTATAAGAATACAGCAGAGAGATGCCAGAGTACCAGGAAGATCGGGTTCCCCAAAGCAAGGAGCACTGGCTGGTCAGAGGAAAGAGGAATCTTGTGCCCATGTTCCACAACGTGCCCATCATCCCCTTCTCTCCACCCACCCACCAGCAGATCAGTCCTATTTATCTGAAGGCGGCCGGGGCAGGGGGGCAGCAGGAGGGACCCCCCCACCGTCTGGCTGCTGCTTGGAGCCCGGGACTCCCTGAGGGGCCGACCCGGGTCGGCGTCTCGTGCGAACGCAGCGCCCGCGGGAAGCCCGGCCGAGGCGGCCCGATCCAAGCAAGGCTGCGAGGCGAAGCAGGACAAAAGGGCCCGACCGCCCCGCGAGGCCGAGAGAAAGGAGGCGGCTCGCCCCGGCAACGCGAGAGGCAGGCCCGGGCCAGGCCACGAGAAGCGGCGGCGGCGGCGGCCCGAAGCAAAGCGAAGCGGGCCCGGCGAGGCTTCGAAGGCCCGGTCGTGCTCCCAGGAGCCGCTCGGGCCCGCGGCTGAGGGAGGCGGCCGGGCTGGGCTGGGCTTACCCTGCTCGCCGGGCTCCTGCGGCGGCTGCAAGACGCGCTCCAGCTCCGGGAAGGGCAGCTCGGGCAGGTCGAGGAGGGCGCCGTACCTCTCCAGGAAGGAGCAGACGACGGCGAAGTTGGGCCACGAGGCCGGGCAGGGCGAGCCCTCCGACGACGGCGGGGCGGCGGGGAAAGGCGGGGAGGGGGGAGCCGCCGCCGCCGCCGCCGTCGCAGCCGCCATCTTGGAACCTGAGAGGATGGATGGAGGAGGAGGAGGAGGAGGAGGGGGGGGGAGAGGCGGGTCCGGCGGGCGCGCGGAGGAGGAAGGCAGGGGGCGCTGTGACGGGAAGAGGCCTGCCCACCCCTCCTCCCGGCGGCATTCTCCCGTCAGGCCCCGCGAGAGGAGGCGAGGAGAGGCGCCGCGGAAGGGCGGGAGCGCTGGGAAAGAGCGGCCCGCAGAGCTGGCCCCGCTCTCTCGTTGGTTATTCCCTTCGGGCTGATTGACACAGGAACCAAAACGACGCTTGCGTTGGGGAGGAGGCGAGGGGAAGGGAGGGGAGCGGGGGGGGCAGAAGGGGAAAGGGGCGGGGAGAGAACGCCGCCTGAGCCAATCTCGCCGGCGGCGACGGAGAAAGGGGCCCAATCATAACAGAAGGCTCGAGGGAGGCGGCCGCCGAGACTCCGCCCGACCCACAAAAAAGGGGGCCTGGCCGTAAGTGGCGCGCGCGCGCCCCGGGGGGGGGGTGTGAGTGAAAAAACGGGGAGGCCCGATGTTGTGGAGAGGTTTGTTAGTGGGCGCGGCCCGTGTTTGTCACATCGCCTTTGGCCAATGAGGGGCGTGAGGGGGCGTTTCCTCCCGGACGGGGGAGCGACAGGTCCGTGGCCTGGACAGGTGAGCGGACTACAAACCCCGTTATTCGCCGCGCCCACGCTGTGGATGATGGGAACTGTAGTCTGGCGGATCTGGGGAGGGGCGCCTTCTTGGGGTGGGGGGGCTTGTCAGCTGCCTTTGGAGTACAAAACAGTCCTCGACTTACGGCCACAATCGAGCCCCCAAATTTCTGTTGGTAAGCGAGACGGTCGTTAAGTAAATTTGCCCCGTTTTACGACCACCGTTGTTAAGCGAATCGCTGCACTTGCTAAATTAGTAAGATGGTGGTTAAGTGAGTCTGGCTCTCCCCCATTGACTTTGCTGGTCAGAAGGTCACAAAAGGGGATCACGTGATCCCGGGGACGCTGCGACCGTCATAAATATGAGTCAGTTGCCAAGTGTCTGAATTTTGATCACATGACCCTGGGGGACGCTGCAACAGTCGTGAAAAACAGTCACAAGTCACTTTTCTCAGTGCCGTTGTAACTTTAAACAGTCATTAAACGAACTGTTGTAAGTCGAGGACAGCCTGTACAAACCGCCTAGAGTCCCTTCAGCTGAAATGGCCAGTGTAGAAATTTGACAAATAAATAAAATAACACTAAAACAGGCAGGTTGTAAAATATGGTAATAGAATAGAATATATAATAGAATAGAACAGAATAGAATGAAACAATAGGATGGGATGGGATGAGATCGTATAGGACAGAGTTGGAAGGGACCTTGGAGGTCATCTAGTCCAACCCCCTGCTCAGGCAGGAAATCCTATACCATTTCAGATGAATGGCTCTCCAGTCTCTTCTTAAAAACTTCCAGTGTTGGAACAGTCACAACTTCTGGAGGCAAATGGTTCCACAGATTAATTGTTCCAACTGTCAGGAAATTTCTCCTTAGTTCCAGGTTGCTTCTCTCCTTGATTAGTTTCCATTAATTGCTTCTTGTCCTGCCTTCAGGAGCTTTGGAGAACAGGTTGATCCCCAATTCTTTGTGGCAGCCCCTCAAATATTGGAAGACTGCTACCATATCACCCCTAGACCTTCTTTTCACTATACTAGACATACCCAATTCCTGCAACTGTTCTTCATGTTTTAGCCTCCAGGCCCCTGATCTATCTTCCTTATCTATCTATCCTCTCTATCTGTCTGTCTATCTATAAAACTCCCTTTTTATGACCTTGTAATCCCTTTATTCAGGGTAGAGTCGGGGCCACTGGAGGAAGCTGTGCATTTACTGGCCCAGTGCCCTTCTTGACGCCTACGTGAAGTTTGCGGTGCTAATTTTAAAACTACTAACTTCAGGGCTGCAAGTTTTAAACTATTTGCAAATCCGATTAAGCTGCAATCTTTTCTGATAAGATGTCAAATTAGTTAAAATTCACAGCTTCTGGAGGCAGGTTGTTCCACTGGTTAATTGTTCTGTCAGGAAGTTTCTCCTTAGTTCCAGGTTGCTTCTCTCCTTGATTAGTTTCCATCCATCGCTTCTTGTCCTGCCTTCAGGCGCTTTGGAGAATAGCTTGACTCCCTCTTCTTTGGGGCAGCCCCTGAGATATTGGAACACTGCTATCCTGTCCCCCCTCGTTAAACTAGACATACCCAATTCCAGCAACCGTTCCTTCTATGTTTTAGCCTCCAGACCTCTAATCATCTTTGTTGCTCTTCTCTGTACTCTTTCTAGACTCTCAACATCTTTTTTACATCGTGGGGACCAAAACTGGATGCCGGATTCCAAGCGTGGCCTTACCAAGGCCTTGTAAAGTGGTATTAACACTTCCCGTGATTTTGATTCTGTCCCTCTGAACTTAAAAAGCCTCTCTTTGATGGCTTATTTTAGGAGTCAGCAATTAAGGCAACTTTAGGACCTGTGGACTTCAACTCCCAGCTATGCTGGCTCAGGAATTCTGGGAGTTGAAGTCCACAGGTCCTAAAGTTGCCATAGTTGCCCAGCCTTGCCTTACCGCGAGGCCACTTCTCCTCCTTTTAACTCTTGTTCTTCTCTTTCCCTTTCAGACATCCACCCGGCTATGTCTTCCCCCGAAATTGCCTCCCTCTCATGGGGACGGATGACCGTGAGAGGCTGCTCCACCACCTATAAAGACTGTAAAGTGTGGCCTGGAGGCAGCCGGACATGGGATTGGAGAGAAACAGGCACGGATGTAGGTATCTTGGCCCATCCTGGGAGAATTCCTTTAGGGTCTCCTTTGTTATCATCAAGCAGTTTTATGCCCCGGAAAGAATCCCAGTTTTGTCCAGCCAAAAGGAGTGAGAGTTGGGAATTCCCTCAGAGCATCAGAGCTAGAAAAAAATGTGGCCTCCATTTTATCTGATTCCTGCACATGCTTCCTGTGCTGGACCAGTCAGTTAGCTTAAGAACTGTATGTTAGAGCAGTTAACATTTAGAGGGTTAAATGCTGTTTCCTTAAGAGGTGGCTTATGGGTAATGTAGTTTTAGCTGTTAGTTAATCCTATAGTTCATCTAGACCAGGGGTAGGCCACCTTGGCTCTTTTATGACTCGTGGACTTCAACTCCCAGAATTCCTGAGCCAGCCATGCTGAGGGGAAAGGGAGAGGTTTCCAAGCTGAGCCACGCTGGCTCAGGAATTCTGGGAGTTGAAGTCCAGGAATCATAAAAAAGCCAAGATTGCCTACCCCAGGGCTAGTCTAAAGAAAAGAAGAAATAGGGGAGACATGATAGCAGTGTTCCAATATCTCAAGGACTGCCCCAAAGAAGAGGGAGTCAAGCTATTCTCCAAAGCCCCTGAAGGCAGGACAAGAAGCAACGGATGGAAACTAACCGAGAAGAGAAGCAACCTAGAACTAAGGAGAAATTTCCTCACAGTTGGAACAATTAATCCCCTATGCTGGCTCAGGAATTCTGGGAATTGAAGTCCACGAGTTATAGAAGAGCCAAGGTTGCCTATCCCTGATCTAGACCAGTGTTTCTCAACCTTGACAATTTTAAGGCATGTGGACTTCAACTCCCAGAATTCCACAGCCAGCAATGCTGGATGTGGAATTCTGGGAGTTGAAGTCCACATGCCTTAAAATTGTCAAGGTTGAGAAACACTGATCTAGACAGTGGGAGGAGTTAGAAAGTTATTGCAGGACATCCTGTTACTGCCATGTTTTTAATACTTGCCTGCATGAGTCCTAGCCATGTGGTGGCTGGGCTGAGATCTCTAGCAATATGTAAGGTTTACACACAGAAGGGAGAAATCCATTGTTCTTTTACCTGTGAAATGAGTCCATATTGCTACCTACATTCTGGAAGAACTTCTACATAACCGTGAGTTAATGTTTTGAGGATACCTGGAATAAAAGCAATCTTTGTTTTGACTTATTCACCGAGTTCTCTGTCTATCTCAAGTGGAACCTAGCACCCTTCTCTACGTGTGGCAGAATAGTAAAAGAACAATGGATTTCCCCCTTCTTCCCAAACCTGGATAAATTACCCCAAATTGAATAAAAATTGTTTTTTTTTTCTTTGGGGTAAAGACACACAAACCCATTATCCGGGACAACTGGGACATTTAAACTGAGTGATAGATGGCCATGTATACAGGCAGTGCTTGCCTTGCTTACAACAGTTCATTTAGTGCAGTGTTTCTCAACCTTGACAATTTTAAGGCATGTGGACTTCAACTCCCAGAATTCCACAGCCAGCAATGCTGGCTGTGGAATTCTGGGAGTTGAAGTCCACATGCCTTAAAATTGTCAAGGTTGAGAAACACTGATTTAGTGACTGAAGTTACACCACCACCACCAAAAAAAGCGACTTACCACTGTTTTTCACACTTAATGACTGTAGTAGCCTCCCTATGGTCATGTGATCAGACTTCAGATGCGTGGCAGCTGGTATGTGTTTAGGTATGTATAGTATAATATGTTTAGGTGTGTGTCGTGTATGTTTTACTTTGAGAGCAGGCAACTAAATTTCATTTTTGATGTGTGCCGTTGTGCCCACAGTAAAAAAATGACAATAAAGGTTATCTTATCTTATCTTATGACGGTGGCAGTGTCCTGGATCATGTAAGGACTACCTACCTATACATTAAAATCCCATTTTTTCCTTTTTCCCCCCCACAGAATTGTAATGAGTCACTGTTAAAAGGAGGCTACAGTTTTTAGAGGTGGGAGAAAAATGTTTTCCTCGCGCCTTGTTCAGACACCGATTCTTTCTTCGTCAATTGTCATTTCCCGCCCGCCCCACTTAGAAAAAAATAAATCTCTGCACAGTGATTTTTGGATTAAAAAAAACAACGGAATGGAAGTCTAATCGCATCTTAAAAATTTTTTGACCTTCCATGCACCCCTTCCTGCCACTTCCTTCCTCAGAAGACTGGACTGGTTCCTTTAGGCCAGTGGTTCTCAACCTGTGGGTCGGGACCCCATTTGGGGTCTATCGACCATTTCATGGGGTTCGCCAAGCAAGGCTGTCTGCCATTTTTTTGTCCGCCATTTTTTTTCCCCTTTTCCGGCGGGTGCCTTACCTCCCTTGGGCTGGGCCAGCTGGTGGTCGGCCTGCTCCGTCTCTCCTGCTTGCCAGCTACGCCTCGGCCGGTGCAGGGGGCGGAACCACGCATGCGTGGCGCTCTCAGGCAGGGAAAGTCCTTGACTTACGACCGGTTGGGTAGTCCTCGACTTACGACCGGTTTAGTCCTCGACTTACGACCGGTTTAGTCCTCGACTTACGACCGGTTGGGGTCGCGGCATTAAAAAGGTTGAGAACCACTGCTTTAGGCTGTGGGATGATTTGAACGAACTTTTTTTTTTAATAATTGGTTTTCAATTCACCCTTGCCTTTGTAAATTTCATTTAGAGGGGGGGGAAAAATTAAAAATAACTATTTTTACGTTATTTTTATTGGTACACGTCCCAGAGTCCCTCTGTGAGGGAGAGGGCTGATTTCAAATGTTGATTAAAATGGAAATTAATAAATAAAAGCTTGTTAAAAATAGACATACACGCGCGCACACCCCCAGGCCTACTGGGAGCAGCTGCACGCTGTGTACAGAGCCGGAAGGCTGCAGTAGTTTATGATACAAATTTGCATACAAATTACAATGAGAAGGCAGAAGGGAAACAAGCAAACAGGCTTTAAAAAAAAAAAAGTCAGATCTGCCTCAACAAAGCTGTCATTTACCAGAAGAGGTTAATTCGATCAGCGGGAAGCCAGGCCAGAAAAACACTGAGGTTCTTCTGCTTCGTGGAATCAGACTCTACAAAAGGGTTGGGGAATAGGGATAAGTAGAAAAAGCTGACTGGTGTGTGTGTGTGTGTGTGCGCGCGCGCGCGTGCGTGTGCCCCCAACAATCTGGGTCCTCATTTTAATGACCTCAGAAGAAGGGAAGGCTGAGTCAACCTTCAGCCGGTCAGGATCGAACTGCTGGCAGTCGGCAGAGTTAATCTGCAGTACTGCATTCTAACCACTGTGGCGCTATGCTTCCCTCCCTTCCTACCTTCCCTCCCTCCTTCCCTTCCTTCCCTCCCTCTCCCTCTTCCTTCCGTTCCTTCCTTTCCTCCCTCCCTTTCTACCTTCATTCCTATCCTTCCTTCCCTCCCTCCCCTCCTTCCTTTCCTTCCCACCCTTCCTCCCTTCCGTTTCTTCCTTCCTTCCTTCCCTTGCTCCCTCCCTTCCTACCTTCCCTCCCTCCCTTTCTACCTTCATTCCTATCCTGAACAACCGGTTCTCTTATTCGATGCAGGCCTGGGTCTCCGAGGCCTAGAACGGACTTCCAGAAGTGGCATCCACACACTTCCGGTGGGCCGTTCTAGGCCTGGGAGGCCTCCTCCAGGCCTCTTGAGGCCTAGAATGGCCTTCCGGAAGTGGCATCCATGCACTTCCGGAAGGCCTAGACTGAATTTCTGGAAGCCAGCCAGTTTTCCCGAATGCAGCAAAATTTAGCTACCGGTTCTGCCATATCGGCTGAATCCCACCACTGGTCGAGGACCTTCCCATATTAATTTGGTGCCATGGCAAAACCATCTCTCCTTAACGTTTCTTTTTTTTCCCCTCTACCCAGCACATCCCTGGAGTTCAGCCTGCAGATGTGAAAGAAGTTCTTGAAAAGGGTGTGAAAACATTAGTCATCGGTCGGGGCATGAGCGAGGCCTTGCAGGTAGGTTTTCTCAGGTGAGATGAATTCCGAGAGCCAGCATGGGGGAAACTATGGCCCCTTCGTGACTTGCAGACTTCAACTCCCAGAATTCCTCAGCCAGCATGGGGGAACTATGGCCCCTTCATGACTTGTGGGCTTCCAGAATTCCTCAGCCAACGTGCCTGGCTGAGGAATTCTGGGAGTTGAAGTCCCCAAGTAATGAAGGGGGCCATAGTTTCCCCATGCTGGCTGAGGAATTCTGGGAGTTGAAGTCCACAAGTCATAAAAGGGCCAAGTTTGAAGACCCCTGCTTTACTTGATCCCGTAGGGCAGTGATGGCGAACCTATGGCACACGTGCCACAGGCGGCACTCAGAGCCCTCTCTGTGGGCACGCGCACCGTCGCCCCAGTCCTAGGCCTTCAGCTGGGTTTTATAAAACCTTTTCGCTTTAGGCCTCCGCTGCCGTGTGCAAAAAAAAAAAAAGGTTCAATTAATCAATTTCAACTTCTCACAGGGAAAAAAAAATCTCGCAAAGTTGGAATTGATTGATTGAACTTTTTAGTCCCACCCAGTCTGCCGTTACCACTGCAGCCACGCCCACCCAATGGGCCACGCCCACCCGGCACCCGACAATACATAAGTGGATTTTGGGTTGCAGTTTGGGCACTCGGTCTCTAAAAGGTTCGCCATCACTGCCGTAGGGTTATTTTTATGTCCTTACACCCTGTTGCACCGGCACTCTTCCTTTTTAATCAATGGTTAACGTGGTTGAGGTTCTGATATAGAGGTAAAAGTGAGTTAATGCTATTTTAATAAAGAAAATTGCTCCACCGATGCCACAGATTTTCATTGCTTTTTTTCCCCCTCCAGGTCCCGCCAGCCACAGTGGAGTATCTGAGGAAGCACGGGATTGATGTGATGGTCTTGCAAACGGAGCAGGCTGTGAAAGAATATAATATTTTGGCTTCCCAGGGAGTCAGAGTGGGCGGAGTCTTCCATTCTACCTGTTAGAGCAGGGGTCCTCAACCTTGGCAACTTTTAAGGCTTGTGGACTTCAACTCCCAGAATTCCTCAGCCAGCTTTGCTGGCTGAGGAATTCTGGGAGTTGAAGTCCACAAGTCTTAAAAGTTGCCAAGCTTGGAGACCCATGTGTTAGAGGGCAGACACAAAACCCCTCTCTCCGTCTTCCACCTGGTTCCTTCGGGGAAATTAAAAGGAACATTTTCTCTGTGTGTGTACTGTGCCAACTTTTGAACACTTTCCAGCCAGGAATAAAACCATTTGCCAAAAAAAAATAAAGGCCCCAGCCAATTTTATCAGCTTGTGTTCAAGTGCATCAAGGAAAACTAGAGGGAAGGTGACAGCCTTGCCAGGTAAACCAGATGGGGGGGGGGGGAAACACAGCCAGACGAGCTAATTCTACATTATTTTAAAATTACATAAAGAAACAACCTGCCTCCAGAAATTGTGAATGCTCCATCACTGGACGTTTTTAAGAGGAGACTGCACAACCATTTGTCCGAAATGGTATAGGGTTTCCTGCCTGAGCAGGGGGTTGGACTAGATGGCCTCCAAGGTCCCTTCCAACTCCTAGTCTAGTCTAGTCTACTCTAATCTAGTCTATTCTTTCCTGTTCTGTTCTATTCTATTCTATTCTTTCCTGTTCTGTTCTGTTCTATTTCTATTCTATTCTTTCCTATTCTGTTATTCCATTCTATTCTATTCCATTCTATTCTATTCTTTCCTGTTCTGTTCTATTGTTTTGTTATTCTATTCTATTCTATTTCTATTCTATTCTTTCCTGTTCTGTCATTCTATTCTATTCTATCCTATCCCTATTCTAACTCTATTCTAACTCTATTCTATTCTTCTACGCATTAACAAAATCTTGCAAATCAGAAAGTACCCGTACAAAGTTGCTAAAAGAAACACTGCCCAGCCTCCTAAAAGTCTAAGGAAAGGCCGAAGCAGAGGGACCGAGATCAGATTTTTTCCCAACCTATCACCCCTCCAGATGCGTTGGAAACGCTCAACTGCAGAACTCTTGGCTGGGCAAGCTGGACCAAACCATTCTGCATTTTTAGGAGGTTGCCGGGTGACGGAATAAACGACGGTAGCCTATATACTCTTTGAGTAGCAACTTCTTTTACCACTTCCCAGTCCCAGGCACTTCCGCAAGCAGAGAAGAGAGCAGAGTTTTTACAAACGGAGGCCAGCGGGTACCGTCTCCCCCCATAGGTCCACTTCGATAGTCTTTACGGAAGTCCCGTCGACTTCCAAAACGGATTTTTCCCTCGGGGGAAGAAAAAAAAAGGAAAATGATTTTGCAAACTACAGCTTTCACCGCCTGCCAGGCTTGGGCATAATATAAACTTTGACTGGTTTGCCGAACAGGAGAGTGCCTTCGATGCTGCCCTCTGATGCGGGGAGAAGATCCGGGCCGTCTCCCCAGGTGGAGCGCGAGAGGTCCACGGAGGCCTTGGTTCTGTCCGAACTGTAGGCCAGGAGAAGTTGGAGTTCAACTTGACAAGGTTCTGGAGCAAAGGGGGGGAAAAAGGGGGGGTGGGGGAAGAGAAAAGGAAAAGGTCTCATATCTGCCAGGTTTCCAAAAGCATCTAACATGCAGGTAGTCCTCAGCGTTACAACCATTCTGTCAACGCTGCTAACGTCGGATGTTCTGCATTGACAACAGATGGAAATGTAGCCAGCTTTTCCCCTTTCACTTTTAGAGTTAGATCAGTGGTGGCGAACTTATGGCACGGGTGCCAGAGGCGGCACTCGGAGCCCTCTCTGTGGGCACACGTGCCGTTGTCCCAGCCTCGCCTCCCCCCGCGTCCCCCTCCTCTCCAACAGCCCCCCCGAAGGAGAGTCGCCCCCGAGCGTGGCCCACGCGGAGCAGCGCAGCCAAGGACATGGCAGCCAGGCAGCGTAGACAAGACTCTGCCCTCACACCCCATCATGCAGTTGATGCTGCAGGGCGCGGGCAGAGGGTATGGCCGCCATAGCGCTGCTGGGCTGCCTGGGCGATCTGCGGCGGGCCCTGGAGGCGGTGAGTGGTCCTGTGGGCAGGCGGGGTGGGGGACGGGGGGCAGAGTGGTGGCGGGGCAGGGGGGGTGGAGTGGGGGCGAGGCCAGTTTTGGGGCACTCGGTCTCTAAAAGGTTCGCCATCACTGAGTTAGATGATGCTGGGAGGAGGGAGGGATGTGAACGAGAGTCCAGCTAGACATAACAACACTAAACCTAGCATGAGAATCAAGGTTATTGAGCCCAAAACTGATAAAAGAATTGGCCAGCTGGAGAACTGGAGAGGAAGCCTGCGCTTCAAGCTAATTGGGGAATGTGATTTAGGACTGTTAATTGGAGGAGGGAATTATGCTTTGATACTATGTGCCCAGGGGAGGGGAATCCAGTTTTTGGCTTCGATTATGCAGTGTCGATATTATGCTACTCGAATAAAAGATTGTTTAAGGTAAACAATGCCTCAAAGTTCTTTTGAAGAGTTTCATCTGTCGGAACCAGGACACATTCATTTAGTGACTGTCTGAAGTTACAGCACTTGTACAAAGTGATTTATGAACATTGATGACACATTTTTCACATTGCACCATCCCCGGGGGTCACGTGATCAAAATTCGGAGGTTTGGCAACTGGCATATCTTTATGACGGGTCGCAAAGTCCCTGGGGGGGGGTGTCACGTGATCCCCTTTTTGCCACCTTCCGACAAGCAAAGCCAACGGGGGGAGCCGGGTTCGCTTAACGACCGTGTTACTAATGTTAACGGCTGCAGCGATTCATTGAACAACTGTTGTCAAGAAAGGTTGTAAAAGGAGGCAGAATTCCCTTAATTGTCTTGTTTAGTAACTGAAGTTTCTGGGTTCAATTGTGGTCGTAACTCAAGGACTACCTGTACACAGCAAAGGACATCAAAACTCCCACATTTCTATTCTTTGCACCAGCCAGCTTCATGCCCACAATGGTTGTTTGCAACGTCCCACGGTAATGTGACTTATGTTTTATGACATTTTTTGCTGAAAACCAGCACACACTTTTCGGTTTTCAGCAAAAAATGGCCCATGGCAAGCAATGGCTTCGTTTTACGACGGCAACGTTTATTTGGCCACTGTGCTGGTTGCTTTGCCACGGTGGAGTTCACTTAATAACTCCTGTGGGGGAAAAAGATCATAAAAACGGATCCAAACACTTGGTGACTTTTTTTCAACCATCAACGACTTAAGGCAGACTCACAGTCCTAAACTGAGGATTACCTGTAAAGTCCTTGCAGACAGCTGGTCATTTGCCTCCTTTTAGAGAGTCGTTGAGGCCACTTGGAGGTTTGTCTTTGTCCTCAGGGTCACCTGAGGGATGCAAATGGGTGTGGAGCCTTCTTGGAACGGCTGAAACATCCTGCAGAAAGCACAACTCCACAACAGTCCTTTCAGCAGTTCCAAAGAGGCTCCACACCCGTTTGCACCACTCAGGTGACCCTGAGGACAAAGATAAACCTCCAAGTGGCCTCAATGACGATTCTCTAAAAGAAGGCAAATGACCAGCTGTCTGCAAGGAGTATAAATCTTTCCCTTCTCCACCATCCGGTCAGAGCTGAAGAAGCTTCTTGGAAGAGAAGCGAAATAACTTCAGAAGAAAAACAAGAAAGTCCACTTGCTTCCAGAAAAAGCAGCTTTGGGTCTACATTAACACGGAATTTCCCAGCCCTGCAAAACATGCACTGAAGCCACGTTTCCCCCTACCTGTCCACGCAGTGTGCGAAAGGTAAACCTGAGTAATTAATCGGTGCCTTCCTGGACCAGGATTTCTAAAATCTGCCGGTTTCGGATGGATCACCTGGGACTGACCGTCAGGATACAGGATCTAGAAGAAAAGAGAGACCCGAAGTGATTGGATTGTCTCTTCTCAACCCTGGAGCCATCAATGGAGCGACTTCTACTTGTCCCACATCGCACTGACATTTTGGGGGGCTCCATCAGGAAGACGGTCTTGCTATTGTGACCCCGCATTTATAGAGCACCCTCTCCTTAAAAGAAGAAAGGAAAAAAAAACAGTCCATGGAATCTCAGGATAGGTAGTCCTTGCAGGCTGGGGAATCCTGGGAATTGAAGTCCACGCACCTTCAAGTGTGTTAGAGTGTTAAGAGACCCCACACACCCACTTTACGCTCTGTTTCTGTTGATCCCCACTGAGAGGAGGTTTCGAAGTATTTCCAGCAGGATTACCAGATTCTGTAACAGCTTTGTTCCCTAGGCCAGCCGTCTGCTAAACTCACGAGATTCGTTTTTCTCGCCACGTACATGTAACATATTCAAACTAGACTGTGTTCTTTCGCTGTGCCATAGAATGTAATGTGGGTATGTGAGTATATGCAAAAACAATTTGGTCATATTTATGTAGTGTATATTGGAGTTGCTGACCCTTTGAGAGCTGTATGCAACGAAATTTCATTTTAATGTATGCCGATTAATGTACATTTAAAGTGACAATAAAGTTATTTTGTTCCATTCCATTCTATTCCCATCCCCATCCCTATTCTGTTCTGTTCTATTTATTCTGTTCTGTTCTGTTCTTTCTATTCTATTCTGTTCTGTTCTGTTTTGTTGTATTCTATTTATTCTGTTCTGTTGTTCTAATTCTATTCTATTCTGTTCCGTTCTACTGTATTCTATTTATTCTGTTGTTCTATTCTATTCTGTTCTATTCCATATTCTATTCTATTCCATTCCCAATTCTATTCTATCCCATCCCATCCCATCCCATCCCATCCCTATTCTATTCTATTCTATTCTATTCTATTCTATTCTATTCTATTCTATTCTATTCTATTCTATTCTATTCTATTCTATTCTTCTATATTTCTATATTTCTATTCCATTCCACTCCTCCACTCCATTCCATTCCATTCCATTCCATTCTGCCTGAGATTGAGAAACCCCCAAGATACCGAATAGCACTTGGCCAACGGAGAACTGGAGACAAAATAGTGGAACACTGAATCCTTGTTCTAACCCAATATGGTGGCCTTCACATGGCTCAATTCAGTTACCTGGACTTTCACTGTGTTTTGAGGATCTTGCACGTGTTCCAGAGTGGCATCCACATCCACTGCGACCACTAATCCTGACGTGAAGCGAAGGGGATTGTCCGATTCTCCTGTGGGCTCAATAATGGTGGCGGCTGCTCGGTGGATCTGAGGGAAGGAACGGGGTAGATTAGCCGGCATTTCTTGTGACAAAACAACTCTTCGCAATTCGCTTTTTCCATCCTGATATGACCTTGTGCAAGTAGTCCTCAACTTACAACCATTCATTTAGTGACTGTTCCAAGTTGCAATGGGCACTGAACAAGGTGATTTACGTCCATTTTTCACAATTACGAAGGTTGCACCATCCCCACGGCGTGATATGGCCCATGGAGTCACGAAGAGTCGGACATGATTTAATGACTGAACAACAACAGAATAACGGAATTGGAAGGGACCTTGGAGGTCTTCTAGTCCAACCCCCTGCTCAAGCAGAAGACCCTATACAGGTAGTCCTCGACCTACGACCATAATGGAGCCCAAAAGGCTGTTGGGGACTGAACAGGAACCATTTGCCTTTCAGTTTGAGATGCAGACAACACAGACTCATCCCCAACAGCCTGTGTGCCTGTCTTCAACCGTGGAGGGACCCAAGGCAGAAACATCCTGCAGCCAAGATGGTTCCACACACATTTGCACCATTCAGGTGACCCTGAGGACACAGGTAAACCTCCAGGTGGCCTCAACAACCCTCTAAAACAGACGTGTCAAACACAAGGCCCGGGGGGCTGGATGTGGCCCGCGAAGTGGTTTCATGTGGCCCGCGAAGCCATCCTGGAAACAGTGAGGGAACGGCCCCCTCTGTCTTGGCCCTGGCCCAGGCCGGCCGGGAGCCAATGTACAATTTTGTGGTGGCCATCTATGCTGAAATGCATTCAGTCTTAGCTCCACAAGGCTGTCCGGAAACAGCGAGGAACCGGCCCCTGCCGCGTCGGCCCTGCCCCCTGGGTGCATGCTGGGGAGGTGTCACCCCCTTTGTGAAGAAATGGAGCATGCCTTGGCGCTTGTCCCGGTCCCATCCCCTCCTGCCAGAGACCCTCAGATCTGTCCCACTCCTGCCCAGGCCCCCACAGGCACCCTTGACGCTTGACGCAAACGATGTAGAGCTGGCCATGCCCACCCAGTAGGCCACACCCACTCCACCCACGCCCACCCAGTAGGCCGCACCCACCCTGGCCACACCCACTCGGCCCCGCGAGGGCAACCGCAATGCTGATGCGGCCCTCAATGAAATTGAGTTTGACACCCCTGCTCTAAAAGAAGGCAAATGACCAGCTGTCTGCAAGGAACATAAATCCTTCCATCCTTCACCATTCAGCTAGAACCTGAAAAAGCTTCTGGGATGAGGAGCGAAATGTCTTTAAAGAAAAAGAACAAGAAAGTCCAGTTGCCTCCTGAAAAAAGCACCTTTGGGACAACCATGATCTGGATAAACTGAGAAGCTCCATAGATGAACGAACGAACGAACGAACGAACGAACGAACGAACGAACGAATCTCACCTTCTCTGGCAATGGAAGGTGAAGGAAGTTACTCTGTCGCAAGGTCACCCGGAGGATCTTGACCACTTCTGAAGGCTTGGAAGTGACCAACCTGGGCATCAGGTCAAGGAGCTTATCCACAAAGCTGCCTTGCATGTGGGGCAGCTCGGAAATGAAACACCTGCGAAAGGGGTAAGAGAAGAGAGACCGATGAAGGCAAATATACGTGTGGCCCAGGATGTTGTTGTTGCAGGATCCAATCAGAGTTGGTCAACCAGGACCAAAAGTTTATTATTCCAAGCTCTGGTGGAGTCCATCCTAAGTGGAATTTCTCTCTCTCTCTCTCTCTCTCTCTCTCTCTCTCTCTCTCTCTCTCTCTCTCTCTCTCTCTCTCTCTCTCTCCAGAATGTGTACATTGGGCTAGTCTACGTGTCGTATTTATATGGTGCCGTTGTGTGTGGCTTTTACTTAATTAGGGTGTTCACGAGTCATAAAAGAGCCAAGGTTGCCCACCCCTGGGGTCTTCAAACTTGGCCACTTTAAGACTTGTGGACTTTAAGTCACGCATAATCTCCAAGAAACAGATGAGAAGAAAAACGAGAATAAGGTCTCGTTTGCGCCCAAGGAGCATCTCACCAGATCGTACACACCTTTGAAAACAGTCCACTTCTTGCAAAAATTTCTCACATATGCCGAGCGGTTCCACCCTGTAACAAAGATACAAAATCCATTCTAGACATCCTGGGGTTTTTTTTTGCCAGTTACAAGTCACTTGCAGGAGCAGAAAATCGGACAGATTATTCTATAGAAAAGCTGGCTTGGGAATATAAATGGTGCAAACCTTTAGAGACCGAGGGCTCAAACTGCAACCCAAAACCCACTTATGTATCGTCGGGTGCCGGGTGGGTGTGGCCCATTGGGTGGTCGTGGCTGCAGTGGTAACGGCAAACTGGGTGGGACTAAAAAGTTCAATCAATCAATTCCAACTTTGCAAGATCTTTTTTTTCCCACGAGAAGTTGAAATTGGTTGATTGATTGAACCTTTTTTTTTTTTTTCCACACACGGCGGCGGAGGCCTAAAGCGAAAAGGTTTTGTAAAACCCAGCTGAAGGCCTAGGACTGGGGCGACGGCGCGCATGCCCACACAGAGAGGGCTCTGAGTGCCACCTGTGGCACGCGTGGCATAGGTTCGTCACCACGGACCTAATCAGTCAATCCAAAGCTTTCCAAACTATCCTAAATTTTACGTATTCAGCAACTGAATCTATCCTGAATCGGAATAGAGCTGGAAGGGACCTTGGAGGTCTTCTAGTCCAGCCCCCTGCTCAAGCAGGAGATCCTCTACCAGTCCAGACAAGTGACAAGTCCAGTCACTTCGTAAAAACCTCCAGTGTTGAAGCACCCACAGCGTCTGGTGGCAAGCTGTTCCACTGGTTAATTGTCCTCCGCTAATTGATCTCTCCACCGATAAGGCCTCCCCAAGTCCCCGAGAGCCTCCTTACCCTCTCGTTGTCCGCACGGTCACGATCAGTTGCAGAGCCTTGGCCTGCAGCCTCATATGGTGGATGATGACCACCTGCCTGTGCTCCACGTTGCTGTACATGAACTCCATCTTGTACGTTTCTTCCATTATCTAGGCAAGAAATCACTGGGTTTTTTTAATTCTGTCAAGATTCCCAAGGGAGATTGCTTCGCCTGAAAAAACGTGGTGAGGCTCCTTCAAACCCACAAAGGGTGAAGCAACCACACAGTGCAATGTAATCAAACCAATCGACAAGAAACTTTTCTTAGCATCCTATCTGTTGTAATAGCGATAGCACTTGGGAGTTATATACTGTCCCATACTGCTTTTACAGCACACTCTGGGCAGTTTACAATGTCAGCATCTTGTACTCAATCAGAATAAAGCTGGAAGGGACCTTGGAGGTCTTCTAGTCCAACCTCCTGCTCAGGCAGGAGACCCTATATATCGTTCCCAACAATCCAGGTCCTCATTTTACTGACCTCTGAAGGATGGAAGGCTGAGTCAACTTAGAGTCGGTCAGGATCGAACTCCTGGCTGTGGGTAGAATTAGCCAGCAATACTGTATTCTAACCACTGTGTGGAAGGAAGGAAGGAAGGAAGGAAGGAAGGAAGGAGAGAGGGGAGGAAGCAAGGAAGGAAGGAGGGAGGGAGGGAGGAAGAAAGGAGAGAGGGGAGGAAGCAAGGAAGGAAGGAGGAAGGAGGAGGGAGAGAGGGTGGAAGGAAGAAAGGAGGGAGGAAGGAAGCAAGGAGGGAGGGTGGAAGAAGGAAGGAAGGAGGCAGGGAGGAGGAAGGGAGGAGGGTGGAGGGAGGGAGGAGGGAGGGAGGAAGAAAGGAGACGGGAGGAAGCAAGGAAGGAAGGAGGAAGGGAGGAGGGAAGGATGGAGGGAGGAAGGAAGGAGCAAGAGAGGGGAGGAAGCAAGGAAGGGAGGAGGGAGGGAGGGAGGAAGGGAGAAAGGA